GCCATGCTATGATTGTGAAGCAAGATAGATCTGATATTTAAAATCAGCGTGAAGAATTATATTATATCGAATAAAGATTAAACGAACTTTTTCTTTTGAAGAATCATTCTTGGTAAATCGGCTGATAAATTTTTAACAAACACACAGTCACTAGAGACTATGAGTGAATTTTCACAAGAAGAAGTGTATCTTATATTTATTTGATTTAATCTAGTTTCTGATGCTGTTTCTGGATTTCAGATCTATCTTGCTTTACATCGTAACATGGCAATGAAAACTGTAAAAAAGTTTTCTCTTTAAAAATCATGAAGCATCACTTTATAAGAGTAAAAGAAGAAGTCTGCTTCATCTTAAACATAGATTTCATTTTGAAATCTTTTTAAACGGTACACGCGTGAAACTCAGCTGATAGTTCTTTGATTCTGAATATTGATAAGAGATAGATTTTTAAAAGTCTGAAGATCTTAGACGCATAAAGAAATATGTGTTTTTTTATTCCCGTTGATCTGACTAAACTCGAATCGATCGACATTGTATTGTTTGGACGTTGTTTCTATTTTTCCATATTTCAATTTTCTATCTTTTAGTATGGCTTCTAAAAAGTTTGAATGATTCGCTAAGCCGATATTAGGTGATATTAGTTACTGTTATGTTACCCGATAACGAGGAATGGAGAAGCTTGTATTTGAGATTTCTGTTCACGAAAGTTTATTCTTCGAAAATAACGTTTGTTTATGAAATATAATCTGAATTGTTCGAGGGTAAAGTGCCTGAATTAGGGGTATTTTCTCGAAATTTTCGAGTTTTTTTCGCAAAATTTACAAAAGATTCGGATTATTTCGACTCTAAAACCTTTCGTTGAAGGTTAAAGGAATTGTTGCTTTGGAAACATAACCATTTTTTGACTAAAAATATGTAACATAGATTTTCGGTTGATCGTTACATGGCGATGTAGCCTTAAGTTTTATATCCTAATATTGATTAATGAAAATATTATATCGCATATGATTTAAACATGAATAGAATGTTCAAAATAGGATTTTTTTTTACATGAGAGATCACAAGAAGTAGAATGATTTAGTTTGATGCTAGGTTTAATAAATAACGAAGTGAAATGAATTTAAATTTTACATAAATTAGTCTTTATATAATTTAGTATACTCTTAAATCAAATCGAAAGAAAATATAAATTGATACTCCTAAGTGTCAACTATAAAGCTTAAGCTAAAATCACTTTTATAGAAGAGATTTTCAAGTTCTATGGAAAAAAAAGGACCCAATAATCCTGTGTTAGATATAGGAATAAGAAAAGCGGAAAAACTATCTCCGTGTTTGTCAAATTTTACCAGAAAAAAATGTCTTACTCTCATTTTATTGTAGAAAATAAAGAAACAAAATCGATCAACAGCAAACATCCGTCGACATCTTGGTAATATACATGGTCAAACTGCGTTCCTGTTTCAATCTCAAATAGAACAAGTACCACATAAAAATTCATCTATTTCGATTGAATTAAAGAAGAAATTGGATGAAAAGCAAATTAATTCTATTATAGTCGATTCTCGACCTTTTGGTGATTTCTCCCGTAAGGGGATGCGAGAATTTCTCGCAACTGCTATACCAGGTTATAAACCTTTACATAGGACAACTGTTCGGAAACGTCTTCGTACATTATATATTGAACATCGTCGTACACTTCGCAAGGTCTTGCTAAATGTTTCTGACTTGGCTTTGACTACCGACATTTGGAAAGATTCTCGAAATCGTTTTTATATCAGCTTAACAGGACACTTTTATGATAAACAACTCAAACTGATCTCATTAACACTTGGTTTTCGTTTGCTTCAAGGGCGACATATCGCCAATCGTCTTGCTAAATATATTAAAAACGAAATTATGTCTTTAAATATTGAAGAAAAAGTACGATGCATCATTACAGATAATGCACCAAATGTCGTTAGTGCTATACGTAAACTTGGTATTGGAATTCATCACTCCTGCATGGCTCACAATTTAAATCTTGTCATTAAATCAACTTTATTTCCACCTGTGAAAAAAAAGTAAGAGGAATATCTCATTTCAATCAATTTTTTTATAATATATGCGAAAAAGCAAATATCATCGACTTATGATATTGCGAATTTTTAAGAGCTCACTTTGATATTAAATAGACTAAATACTGAGAAGTTTTAAGTACAATAATAGTTTGTATCCATATGAAGTCGGATTCAAGTGCTTCGGCATCACATAAAACTAATTTGACTACGGATTATCACCTCATTTGTTGATTTTAACAAATATCACAAAGTTTGAACAGCTCATTGAATTTCTACGTAAATGAGATGGTCAATCATTTCTGACCATATTAAGGCCTATTTTAGACATCTAGTCCTTTCGTACCTACGGATAAACGTATAGGCTGGAAATCAAAACTCAGAAGCCCGAATCGAAAGTTTCTTTATATACTCAACATCAGTTTGAATCAGATCCAAATAATGTCCATATACGTAGCATTACAACTTTCATTAGAAAACAGGAATGGGATTTAGAGAGAAGAAATAAATGTAATTCCTCCAATGTTGGAAATGGTGGATATATCAGTTTCAATTAAAGGTGAATAAGTTTTGTTTCCTACCCCGAATAATATCCATTGTTCTTCTTCATTATCTTAAGGAAGTGGATATATACGTTCAGGTAGATATTATCAAATAGTTACTAAATATTGAGTTATATTTTAGTCATATTTGTACTTCATAATTCTTATAATTAAAATTTATCAATTTATGACCAATTTTACTCTATTTATTCTTTATTAAATTCAAATAAAATACGAAGCACCTATAAGAATCAAACAAATATAAAAGAAAAAGTTAATTCAAATCAAAATCGACTGATTTAGATATATTTCTAGTACTTATTCTCTTAGATCTTTGAAGAAAAGAGTTGTATTTTCATTATTTTCAACATAACTAACATTAATCACATAAAAATATCTCTTTATAAAAGAATAATGATGAAAATTTCTTTTACATCCGTTTCTCATTGTTTCTAATTGTGACAGATCTTTTTCTCATTTTGAAAGAATCTTAGTTTACCGTCTTATTTTAAATCTTCTTCTTTAGTGTGGATTAATCAATAGGTCTTCATAGAAGAGTTTTG